CTAAGTGCATTTACATTAGATAGAAAAAGCTATGCTTTTCCCTATCTTATGAACAGCAGCTACACTTTCCCTCCTCTTACTAAGCATGCAGCTTGAGAATGAATCTAAAATGGATGCCTTCCAGGAGGTGGGAGGGTCTGCTAGGGAGGGTGTGCTGCTAATTGGCTGGAATGTGTCTGCTGACTGTGAGGTACAGGGTCAAAGTTTACTCAATGATGACGAATAGAGGGCGGGTCGAACCGCGCATATGTTCGCACGCCGTGGCGAACGCGAACATGCTATGTTCGCCAGGAACCGTTCGCCGGCGAACCGTTCGGTACATCACTACTTGCAATATATCTTTTGCCAATAAAAAAAAATTAATCAACCACTAAAATTGGTGTGCAATGTCAATTAAAAAGGTGTTAGCTTATAATATGTATCATGCAAATAGATACTAGTTAATGGGCATAAGTTACCACTAATTATTCTCACAATAATGGTACATAAATTAATGAAGTGCAAAAATTTTTTTTTAAAAATCAACAAATCTTATAAGTGATTTTTGAGCAGTTAACAAATATAACTAATATACTTACACATTATCCATTCGATGATCTCAAGGATCTAAAAGCAGAAATAAAAATATATCATATTATATATCAAAATCTAAGATAAAATTCAAATAGGTAAAAGTAAAGTCACAAACATGGAGTCGTTATAGGACCACTCCCAACTGAAGGGCTCAGGTAGGATCAGCACCTTGAACGTGAACAAAGTTATTTTTAAAAGACACCACTGATGTCCTTGAGGTGTTAAGGGACATTGTTTGGAAGGAAGGGTATTTGTTGATCAGTTATAATGTTACTTAATTATACACCTGCTGAGGTGACAAGAGGTGTGCTGCCAGCCATTAGATATTTTTAGAACATGATCATACATTACCTTCCAAATTATCTAAATTCCCCTTATCCCCAGTGGAGGTAGGTAATGTCGGGAAGGTGGAAGTGGTTATACATATATATATATATGTGTAAGGGGTTGTAATTAAATGTGAGTGCATGCATTTTGTCATGGCAGAGCTCATTATATGAATGTGTGTCTAATTTATTATCCATATCATATGTTTCACGGTAGAACGGCTAAGAATATTTTGCGTGTGTATTTACAGAAGAATCAAGGAGTGGAGCAAATTCCATAAATACGCTCCTCTTGCTTAATATGGCCTCGATATAATATTGTTGGGCAGCTTTCCAAATGATTTGATATTTTTGGATGTACTTTTCTAATGATTTGTTTAACATACTCAAATGACAAATATCAAAATGTCAAAACATATATAACAAAATATATCAAAACGTTTCAAAATGTTAAAATATTTTTTTTAAATAATTTTAAAAGTTTAACCAAAAATATGAAACTACTTTCCAGAAAGGTCAGGTCAGACGTGACCTTCATGGAAGACTTGTGGCCAACATGCCATACCTCAACAAATTCAACTATGCAAGAAAACAAAGACTCATGGCTGCCAACAAAAAATAGTAGCAGATGCTATGGACTGATGAGTCAAAATTTGAAACATTTTCCCATAGTAGAAACGGCAGGATGGTGGTACAACAATGAGTGTCTTAACGGACCACTATAGGCACCCAGACCACTTCAGCTCAATGAAGTGGTCTGGGTGCCAAGTCCCTCTAGTTTTAACCCTGCAGCTGAAAAGATAGCAGTTTCAGAGAAACTGAGGGTTAATCCAGCCTCTGGTGGCTGTCTCGCTAACAGCCGCTAGAGGCGCTTCCGCGATTCTCACTGTGAAAATCAAAGTGAGAAGATGCTGGACATCCATAGGAAAGCATTAAGTAATGCTTTCATATGGGCTGTTTGAATGCGCGCACATGCACATTCGGATCTGATGTCGGCAGGGGGTGGAGAGTTCCCCCAGCACAGAGGGAGCCCGGTGCTGGAGAAAGGTAAGTGGCTGAAGGGGTTTTATCCCCTTCAGCCCAGCGGGAGGGGGCCCTGAGGGTGGTGGGGGGGGGGACCTTATGACCCAAGTTTGTTTACCTGGCACTATAGTGCTCCTTTAAACTAACTGTGGAGCATGGTGGACGTTTCCTAGAAGTTTGGGGTGCGTTTCTGCAAATAGAGTTTTGTTAGAATTAACGGTCTCATCAATGCTAATAAGTATAGACAGGTACTTATCCATCAAGCTATATCATCAGGGAGGCTACGTACCAAGTTCCTTACAAAACTGTGTGCAGGTGTACCTGGAAGAATTAATGCTGTTTTGAAGGCAAAGGGTTAGTCGCACAAAATATTGATTTGATTTATATTATTCTTCTGTTCACTCCTGTTGAATTGTGTGAATTGAGAAAAAAATAAACTTTTAGCATTAAAAAGCACATCAAAAATAGGTTAACACAGTTATAGATGCTTTTCAATATATTTATTCAAAGAGGGGTAATTGCAGAATATGTAGATCATGTAAACAATGGTTACATGACTCTTGTATATTTGTGAATAAAAGGTTCTGGTGCCCATCTGTACTAGTGATTGTGATTTGAAAAGAATTGTACGTACTCAGTGCTGAGGAAATAGAACTCCCGGAGTAAAATCTAAGTCCATGCAATTTGTAACTGTTTAAAAATATTAATTTTAGCAATTGTTATCTAGCGCCAACATATTCCGCAGTATTTAAAGTAAAGAAGGCTCTGCTCAAACGAACGCACAAACTATGAAGATTTGAGGTAGGTGGGTTATATCACTAGGTGTCTTGCCCAGGGACACTTACTGTTGAGGTGGTTTGAACAAGATTTTAACCTGGGTTCTAAGGCAATGACACTATCACTGCTCTTAAAAATTGATTTAGGAAAAATATTTACTTTAAATAGAACCTAAATCCTTTCATTACTACAAATGAAACATGAAATTGTAAAACATGCATGCCTAAGAAATGATGTATGTGCCTTTAAGGCTGCAGCTTTCTATAGAGGAGGATGGGCAGGTACTATAAGATGGGTTGCTCATGAAACGCAAAGTAACCAACATTGATTTTGACGTTTGCCGGAATCTTGGTCGAGCTGAGAAATGTCAGTGACTCTGTGAATATCAACGTAATCACACTCTGCTTTCCCAGATAATTTATCACAGGAGAATGGTGACAAATATGATTCCTGCACCGACATTTCAAGGGTGGGAGACAGAAGTTATGTGGGGCAGAGATACAGAGTGATTTAACAAGATACAGGACACAGAAGCAACAGTAATGATTTTTCCATGCCTGGTAGTGCTTGTGTTTTACGCATAGTTAAACTTTAAAAGGACATAAAGTCTGTTAAAGGGCCAGCACCGAAT